TTTAATAATGCAATTATAATAGGAAATCATTAAACCGAATATATATTTTAACATATATTAACGTTTTAAATATAAAATTAATTATTATATATGTATATATTATAATCAAACTTTATAAGAAATATTTCTATGAAAAACGTAATATAAATATATTATAAATAATAGATAGAAAATTCTCTATCCTAATCTTTTAAAAAATGACACGCTAAAGAATAATGCTCTTAAAAATAAAGGGGAAGATCAAATATAAAACTATTATCCCCGGAAAAAAGTTAGGTCAAAATGTTATTCTGAGTATTCAGGACAATAATATAAAATATATTTTCATGTAAAATTAAATTTATTCCTCCAGAGTTGATGCCAAAATCTGTAATGTTATAGTTATTAATACTGAGTCTGTACATTTAATATATACTGATTAAGCTCAACTAAAATAACGTAATTCGAATAAAAAGGAATGAATATTAAGGTATTTTAATAGCAATAATTTAAATTTACAAATGTAATATAAAGAATATAATTAAATAAGTCAAATACATTCATGTCAGCTCCAGAAGATTAAAGGAAAATATGCAGAAATATGCACAATAAATATATTTATTATAAACATATTTACTTTTCAAATAATTTCAATAAATTCTATGATAATAAGGAGATTTCTATGAGTGCATAATTCTTTATAAGCTTACGCAAAGGAAATAATTCCAACGATAAGTGTATATGGGATAGGCAACTACGATCTTCGTCTTCTCTTATCTGTACTTGCGTTGCGATATTACCCTTATTTGCATCCTTGAACTTTCCCAGCAGCGTATCTAAACTTCTTTGTCGTACTTGCTAAGTTAATGCTAATAAGGATACCGTCTGTTTGAAATTGATATTTAAGCGGTAAGTTGTACGACCGATGGAAACATTAATTGAGACCGATCCTCCCTCAAGAGTAATTAGCTAATACTGACAGTTCTCTCTATTACCACGAAGATTATAGAATATTATGATTATATTTTATATTACGTGTATCATGGTATATCTGATCTACATAAAATAGATCTGTAAATATTTGTTTAATCTGTAAAATAATTATAATAAACAAGAAATTTTTAATTTAAAAAATAAAGGGGATAATTTTCGGGAGAGAAGAAGTAGTTACTTTTTTTAATCAGAAAAAAATTTTTTAGAGATAAACTAAAGAAATGTGTACACACACATTGAAAATAACTCTCGATTATAATTTATACTTGTGTATTTCAGCAAAGTTTTGGAAAATTACAGTATTAATTGTCGCAGCACAAGTACGAGTAGGATGAGTAACTGTTGCAGTATACACCGAACATTCATCTGCTGCGTAGGATTTCAGGATTATTTCGTGAAAGTGATTCTCGTCCCGATCCGACTGAAA